CTGCATCTCTGGCCTGTACCCCAGTTCTGTATGAGGAAATAAATAAATCTTTAAGAAAAAAAAAAACAAAACATTTATTTATCTATGTATAGAGGAGCTGGGGTATAGGCCAGAGGTGCAGGGGCAGTGATAGGATTCACCAGAGACAAAGTGGGGAGCAGAACAGGCAGAATGATGAAGTACACTGCTGAGGGGAGCAGCAGGTGGGTCAGGAGAGCTCTGCTGGCCATGTGGGTCAGCTCCCTGGCCAGGATCAACTGTGTGGAAGTGATAGATAGCTTCATAGTGCTGCACTTTAACCCTTGTGCCACCAGGGAGGATCCAGAATCAGTTATATTTCAAATAACACAATGGTTATTTCCTTTTTGTTGTTGTTGTTGCTTACATTTTATATCATAATCAGAAACTTAACTCTGCAAATCAAGTAGATTTGGAAGGGGATAAGAAAATACAGAACTAAATGAACTCTCAGGAGAGTATAAATATTATAGGATATTTGAAGCAGGTAGGGAGGAAGGGGTGATCTCCTGAGCTCCAAAAGGAATGGTCTGGTGGTTAGTCAATTTATTAGACCTGTCCACAGTCAAAAATGGTGATCTTGCTGGTCTGGCAGTCCTGGACCCAAATCTCTCTATGGCTTCTACTCACCTTCATGCTCTCACTCACCTTGCCGAAGACCACTGGCTTTCCATCCAGCCACTCAAACTTTGGCTGATGAAAAACTGGGAACCATAGGTGCCAGGTCCAGTATTTGCCATGGACAAGATGCTGGGAACTGTATGCTTCAGGATGAAATTGTCATCAACGAATGTCTCCCCTTAATGGCCTTACTGCCAATGTCATCATGAAGTGTGACATCACCACCCTGGCACACAAATCCTGGACTAATTCTGTGAAAGCAGGAAACTTTATAGTCAAATCCTTTGTCCCCAATGCTCAAAGCATGGAAGTTTTCTACTGCCTTTGGAACTTTGCCTGCCAACAGCTTGAAGGAGATACAGCTCAGGGCTTGCCCTCAATAGTGATGTCCAAGAACACAGTGGGGCCCACAGTGACAGCGTCTGCAAGGTGGCCTGGTTATTTCCCTCCACATTTATCACTTGGCATTCTTCTGTCAGGAAGATCTTCTTTCTCCAGATTTTTAGTAGTGTATGGATTCATGGATTAGTATTATTGCTACTATTATTCCATGTGTTATCCATTGCTTTTATTCATCTCAATCCTCAAATTGTCCCAATGTGGAATACAGATATTCCTGTTGCTGTGTCTTCACTATCCTTTCAGCACTTTCTTACTTTCTGTAGTGACGCTCTTTATCCCTGATGTGAATTTGACCATCTTTCCAAGAAGCTTTAGCTCCTTTAAGTAGTAGCATTTAGAGAGCAAGATCTGAGTGATAAATGTGTTCATTGTTGGAGTGACTTTGCTTTGACACCCTTTCTTTGAACAGAGTTGTACCCTGGAACATGAGATTGGAAAATAAAAATGTAACTGTGTACATGTGTGCCTGTGTGCAGGTTCCTGTGTGCATGTGTGCAGGTTCCTACATGTGTGTATGTGTCCAAATCATGAGTTCACACTGATACTTCCAATTCATTTGTCTTTTCTTCTACTCCATATTTGTATCTCCTACTCCCACAGTGAGAATCCTGGTTTCCTACATCAGTACAATTACTTATTATTCTATACTACACCCAATGCTCCCTTCTGTTAGTAACACTGTTTCAGTTAATACTCTGTGTACCTCAGGATGATAATCTGAAAAACATCTTTTCTTAAATAATGATTGAATTCAGCCAAGTCCTTTCATTGTCAGTCCATAGTTAACAGTAACTGAGATGTCAGAAGGTATAGCCTCACCTTAGGGCTAGATCTAACCCAGTACCTGTGTGCGTGGCCAAAGTGGAGACTTCTTCCAGTTCCTGGTGGTTTCCCTTCCCAGGCCTGATCCTGACACACTGCGCCACGACAGGAGACTCACGGACCCATACCACCACCCTGTTCCTGGATAATCAACAGCTGCAGAGATTTCATGAGCCAGATATACCTTGCTGATAGCTTCCAGTACTGATGGTGGGAGTCCCCCCCACCCCCGGTCAAGTAAACCAACCTCCTCCTCTGAAGATCTGCTCAATATACTCCTCGAACAAAGACAGCCTTCTTCCTAGAAGAAGTTACAGTAAATAAAATTCCTTCTGCCTCATTACACATACAAAGGCTGGAAACTTTGTAAAGCCTGGTCGGTTATTAATGACAAAGCAGTAGCTGCAAAACTCCCTCGAGATGACTCTGTCCATTGACCAAGCTGATGCCCCTCAAAACCGGTCCCCAACTGGTTCAAGTTACCCAGGATCTTTCTACTGCAGGAAGCTCCAGGTCCAGAGCCACCTCGAGAGCTGTACGCTTCTCCCACCCCCACAGACACAGGGACCTGTCCAGATCCGGTCAGTCACTACCCATGCCTTCTCCCAAGATACCAGCCAAAGGCCCTGAAGAGGACAGCATTTTGCTGACATGAGCCATGGACATGAGGCCCACAGGAGGGGTGCCTGTTCCCCCTGGTAGCATTAGTTCTTGGGGGAGAAGCTCAGGGAGAACTTCCTTCCTTTCCATGCTTCTAATTTCTCAATGATTCTATGCAAATGGCTTTGCTATGCATGCTGCCTGAACTAGAACCAGAGAAGGCCTGAAGGCCTGCCCCTGAAGGCCCTCAGGATTTAGGGCTTAGACCATTTGTGAGTGGACACTTTCTGAAAGACCAGCACATAGTGCAGAAGCAGTCCCCAGCCAGGGTGCAGGGAAGAGAAGGTGTGCAGATATTTCTGTGAAGCTTGTCAGAGTCTTTGAATGTCTTTGCATTAGAGGAAAGAATATGAAATTTGAAATATATTCTAAAATTAGTTATTAGTTATTTCACATCACTAAATAGTGCTTTGATAATTCAATTACTGATAGGAGAAACGGGCCAAAAATGGTTTAGTAAGGTATAAGAATACGGGGGCCTTTCAAAATGTGAGTTGAAAAGAGAACCTGAGTCCAGGAGGAGAGTAGCAAAATGAAACGGGCAGGGTGAGAGGAGGGCAGGCAGGTGCTACCCTGTAGCTGGCCGTCCACCCCAAAGCCCCTGCTTGCTTTTGGTAATCTGGAGATCACTGAAATTTCTCCCAGTTTCCCAAGACTCTCTCCACCATTGTTCAGCAAGCCTCAAAGACGATCACTAGCACCTCCATCATTGAGTTAAGCACTGGCCTCTGTTTTCCATCAAGCAGGGGGCATTTATGACAGAATTTATGTCACACTGTGCCTACTTTTGCCCCATTCTGAACTTAGAAAAATATAACCTAGACTAGATAACTAGGTTCTCTAGATTGGTGCTTCTCCACACTTTTGTATTATCACATAGATGACACAGCTCCTTAGGAGAATCCAGTCAAAACCCAGAAGTACAGCAGCCTTGCCCTCAAGAGGCAGTTGGTCCAGAGGGCAGGTAAGACCAGCCAGTAAAACAGCTGAGTCCCCTCTCTTTTCTGCAGAAATGCAAGAGGAAACAACCTAGGAGGTAATTCCCGCATTTCACCACACTAGGCTATTTGTCCAGGAACAATGGCCCTATGCTCAGATGCCTGGTAGACCTCATGCTTCTTTCCTTCACAGTTTTCTTTTCCCAAAGCTAGTCAACTCCGGAGATGAAGCAAGCCAGTGTTCACCACAGAGATGTGCAGAGAAGTTGGGTATGTGGGAGCCCAGAGCAAGGCCTGGGCCTTCTGCTGGCTGAGCAGCCTTGGGAGCATTCCCTAAACTCAAGTTACCTAACAGGAAGGCAAACTGTCTAAGAGTAAGGGTTCTGGAAACAAGCCTTCCTAGGTTCGTTCCTGGCTCCCCGATGGCCAGCACCATGTTCAGGAAGCATAATTTCTGTTTTCTCATCTGCAAAATGGAACTTGTAATAGCCCCTACCTCAGGGGGTAGCTAGGAATTAGTCTGATGAGCTAATCCTGTAAAATGCTCACAATACTGCCTCGCTCAATGTTAGTGCCTGTGAAGTTTTGCTGTGGTATATGTGCACGCTTTTCATGTCGGTAAACGCATATACAGAGCATATAAAGGCACATTACCAGCGACTGCCGAGATAAGTTGGACAATACATTTGAGCATGTGGATGGGAATGTAAAATGCACTACCACTCTGAACAACAGCTGGCAGTTGCCCATGAAGTTAAGCATACTCACCACCCTTACACGTGAGTCAGAGAGCTTATTCCTAGTTATTTACTCTAGAGAAATGAAAACATCCATCCATAGACAGGAAGTTTCATTTGTAATAGTTCCAAACAGGTGTTCATGAACAAGTGGATGTGGATAAACAAATTCTGGAGCATCCTTTCAATGGGCCAGCCCTCAGCAGCAAGGTGTGTGAACCGCTGGTATGTACGACAACATGAACTGAGCTCAGAAGCAGGACGCTAGGGAAAGAAGCCAAAGACCCAAGGCAGCGTAGCATAGGGTTCTACTTACACTGCATTCTAGAAACACAGGGACAGAAAAGAGATGAGTGGTTGCCAGAGGCTGGACAGGGGACCAGGGAGACTGATTATAAAGAGGCATGAGGGAACACTTCAGGGTGATTTTCACATGATTCATTATGTCCATCAAAAGTCATAGGCTGGCCCATGTAAGAGGCAAATTATACTTTGATAAGTCTAACATTACCTGTGATGGGAGGGAACAGGTAGGGAGAATGCATAAAGGAAACTTTTTTCTTCTACTTTGGCACACCTATACCATGTGAACTTTTGTAATGAGCATACATTTCATGTAATCATTTAACTAACATTTGAAATAATAACAATAATGATATCTTTCTACCTTGAGGGGATGTTGTGAGATCCGAATGAAATGAGAAAAGGTGTAGAAAGCACACACACAGTTGACCCACAGATCTTCTCAGGGACAAGGTCCCAAGACAAGGGGCCTCTACAGAGAAGGACAGCCATGACTCACCTCAGTGACAAAGAGCGTGCGTGGGTCGATGATGTCCAGGAAGTGCCTGAAGCGGCCATAGAAGGATGTCTGGAGAAGGGGTGAGAGAGGAGAGGAGATCAGTTGCTATGCACTGTCCTCCAGGCACTGAGAGGGCCCACCTCATCCCTCACCCTTAGTATTGGGGCCCACCATCCCCCAGGACTCCCCACATGGGAGGATAAATGCCAATGCAGCCCTATTGCTCCAGGACCTAGGGCCTTAGACAGGCCATAAAGATAGCAGTGGCTATCCCATGTTCTCTTCAAGGCACCTCCCATTTTTTCCCTCTCCCCACAATTCCCTGAGGTCCACACCCAACAGTTCCAAGCACCCTAAACACATAGTCCTGATCCTCTGCCCTCTTCCAGCCTCCCCTGCATTGCTCTGGATCTCTGAGTTCAGATTCTACCCCCAGGGAAAGCTCCCACAGACAGAACTAAGTCCCAGATACTAGCTGGGAAGCCTCAGGCCCTCCTTCCCTATAGCCCCAGAACTGCTGTGAACCCCAGGACTAGGGGCCAGCTCCTCCACCCCCACCCCCCCGCTGCCCTGGCCTTAACCCAGAGCAGAGGCCTAGGAAAAGGAGGCTTTGTGCTAAGCAGGCCACAGGCATTAGAGAACCATGAAAGGAAACCGAGCAACGCTGAGGCCTGCTGCCCCTGGGACAAAGCCAGCTTGGTAAAGCCAAGCCCAAGGATGGAGGCAGGGCACAAAGCTAGGGGACAAAGAGGAATGCTGCAAACACTGGGGGTGCATGCCTCACTACACTCCAAACCTCCCTGGAGACCCACAGCTCTGCAAGCACCATCCTCAGAACAGCAGGGCTAACAAAAGCCTACGTACTCCCTTCCCTAGGTACCCCAGGCCCTGCAGTCAATTTCTGCTTCTTTCTCTTCCCAGTGAAGACCCAGGGACAGCGCCCCACCCCATCACTGCTAAGTCCTTTGAACACGTGGCTCATCCCACCTTCATCTCGCTGCTCCTGGGCCTCCCCTCTAACATTAGGATAAGCTGCTCCCACCCTCTCCAGGTACTGCCTTTCACAGACCAAACTTATCTTCAGTCCCATTTCTAAACAACACAGTTGCCTCTCTAACATCTTAGTACTCAAACATCTAAACCATTTCCCCACTCATACATGAAATGTACACCACTGTCCTGCAAAATCTCACTCCTAAGAACTGAGTCTAGGGAAACCTCAGAGATGCCCTGACATGTGGTAGGAGGTCCAGGCTGAGGACGCTCACAGCTGCCTTCTTACCCAGGAGTGTGGTTAAATGAGGGGCAGTCCAGCCGTGTGGCCCAATACGATCCAGCCCCTTAAACTCATGTTTTAATGTTTAGGACATGCTATGATTTTGTGAAATGTATATACATAGGATGACTCCAACTTAATAGACAAGGAGGTAAGTAGATAAAAAGGTGGCCACTAAATGGACAGTAAAGAAACAATGACATCCAGATCCTGCCTGATTCACTAAAATGAACTAGGTCCTAGAACGAGGCCAGGGAAGAGCAAGATGAGGCCAGTCCATTTTGTTGTGCCAGAAAGTAATGAAATCCCGCTTCAAACTGATGGAGACATGTTAAAAGAACCACTGAAGGGCAGATAGAAACGTGTGCCTCTGAAGGAGACACCCCAAGACTCATCACATCGTGTTCTAGAGGAACACAATGAGGAAATGTTCACAGACTCATCACATCGTGTTCTAGAGGAACACAATGAGGAAATGGCAGACCCAGCCTGTGGAACGTTCTACACAATAACTGGTCTTGTTCACCAAATATGTCAATGTCATAATGACAAAGACTGAGGAAGTGTTTCACATTAAAGGAGTCCAAAGAGACAATGCGACTAAACACATCACATAAATCTAGATCAAATCCTAGACTATTGTAAAAATGATCTCAAGGATACTGAGACAACCAATAAAGTTGGAATATGGATTGTAGATTAATAAGAGTATTATACTCATATTAAATTCCCTGAATACAAGAACTATACTGTGATTATTGCTATAGACTAACTATTTATGGTTCCCCCAAATTCATATGTAAAATCCTATTGTCCGGGCCCTCCCTGTTGGTACAGTGGATTACAGCACAGCACTAAGAAGCTAAAACCACTGCAGCATGAGTTCGATCCCTGCCCTGGAGGGCAGCAGACCTCTCCTGACCCACCCGCTGCTCCCCTCAGCAGTGTACTTCATCAGTCGGGCTGTTCTACTCCCCATTCTGTCTCTGGTGAATCCTCTCGCTGCCCCTGAACTTCTGGCCTGTACCCCAGTTCTGTATGCATAAATAAATAAATCTTTAAAAAAAATCCTAATGTCCAATGTGATGAGTTTTAGAGGCAGGGTCTTCGGGAGGTAATTAGCTATGACAGCAGAACCTTCACGATGGGATCAGTGCCTTTATAAAAGACCAGTGCCCCTAGAAATCTCCATCACTCCTCTGCCATGTGAGAACACAGCAAGAAGATGGTAGTCAATGAACCAGAAACACGATTCTCACCAGACACCTTAATCTTGGACTTTCCAATTTCCAGAACTGTAAGAAATTAATTTTCATTGTTTATAGGTGCTAGGTCTATGCTATTATTGTTATGGCAGCCTGAAGAGACTAAAACAAAAATGTAGTAGTAGGTCTTGGTCTTTAAGATACACGGACATATTAAAAGTTTAATAATATAACCTAACAGCAAATGGCTAGGAAAAATAACACATATAAATGTATAGCACAGCAATGATCTGGAAATATACAAGGAAGCTGTCCCTGATAATGTTATGTTTTATACTTGCACTTTTTCAGGACTTTATGATACCTATAGGCCGAGAATAATAAGGATTATGTAACAAACTTGAAAAATTTAGGCAAAGTGCATGTAGAAGTTCTCTGTACTCTTCTTACAGCTTTCCTATAAGACAGTTCTAAAATTAAATGTTCAAAATTATATTTTTTTAAAAATATGAATGAAAATAGATTACAGTATCAACAGAGATTAATTCTGGGTGATAGTCATCTTGGTGATTTTTATTTCAATATCCTATATATTGTTTTTTAATTAAACTTGGCATTCCATATAACATATAGAATAATAATCTGTTTTCTTTAAATACATTTAAATTAAAATACAAACTGGTGTATTAGCTGGTCAGAGGGACACACCTCGGGAAGGATTTCACAAGCGTACCTGCCCATGGGATGAAGCAGCAGGTGGGTGTGCACCACCAGCCTAGAGGTTTCCCAGAGCCTGCGCTGGGCTGGAGAGAGGGTAGAATTTGAGAGGGGGAAGAGTATGCTAGGTAGCTAGGCCCAAGGAGCAAAGAGGAGCCACAGGGGCCGAGGACCTGGAAGGAGGTTGGGCAGCGGGAAGCACCTTCTTGAAGATGGTACACAGCATA